CTCTGCAGCAAGACTAAAAATAGACCACTGTTACCAAAGTTTCATCACTGAAGGAATTATGTTCCATATGCTCTATCTGAGATCTTACATCATGGTATGAAAATGTTATTTTTCCGACCTATTTGAGATGCTCAACTATGAAGAGAGGTGTCATGTGAAATCTACAGTTCGTCTAGATAGATACTGGTGTCCTCCCATGCATTTGCTGTAGGGGTGACTAGAGATGCTTTAGACTCCACAACAAAAAACCTTAACCATTCCAATCACTTTCTACCAATAATTTGAAAACAAAGTTTCTGGAACTTGTCCTCTTAAAATTACTTCTCTGCTGTATGTGGTTGGAGGGAAGGTGGTTTCCCTGAGAAAAAGCAGCTATGCAAAATAAATAGTCATCCTTCACCAATTAAGAGTCAAACAGACATTAAGACACATTGACTGACTATTCTACATGCTAAGTCAGTTATTATTAATGCACTTTTCCAATATACATTAATGTAATTTCCTTCACAAGTTGCACACTGTGGATCTTCTTACTTTCCTATATGGGAGAACAATAGCAGGAAGGAGAAATATCTGTATATTATTTAAACTGAGGAAGGGACAGGTGCAAAAGTAAGTGATTTTTAGTTGAATAGCAAGAAATGTTTACATAAATTCAAATGGAAACTACTTAGATATGTGTTAATAAGGTGTTTGCAAAAACTGATGTCATGCAAGGATAATGTTACAGGAGTTACTATTCTGATACTTTTTCTGCAAGGTACAAGGAAGCAAGAACAACACAGTGAGAAAGAATGCAATGGAAATTTGTTAGAGCATATCAGGCATCCACGAGGTCATATGGACATTTGAGACATCACACAACAATGTTAATATTTGTAAGTCTGTGTGGCTCTCCTCATTATGGGGATTTGTAAGGAAAGAAGTAGACTATCCACACCCTTTGATGTGTTTTATTATAATAATAGTAATAGTGGTAGTTTATACTGGGTATTCAAACATATACTTGAAACATGTATTTGAATAGTTGCAACAAAACTTTCAATAGTGGCTTGATAGCAGACATTCATTTTTAGAGTGACTTGGGGCATTATATGAAGGGTACCTAAGTGTCATTAGTTCTATCTTTGCTTTTCAGTGACAGGATTTAATTTTCTACTAGGTTCCAGGGACTCACTACACCTACCCTCAGCTGACAGGTTGGAAATATTTTTTGGTTAAACTGGTTTTCATGTGAAAACTAAATTTTTTTATGACTTTTACCTCAAGGATTTTGTGTCTTCTATGAAGAAAAATCAGTCTCTGTTTTGGACAAATAGGAGAATTCATAGAAATCAGCAGAGGTTTTCATTGTGATTGAAATTTGTCATATTTCAACTGAAATAAAGACCTGTTTTCTGAATAGTGTCTTTGCAAAGTGTTACTTATCAGCAATGAATAAACAACATCATCTATCACACATCTTGGCTCTGCAGGCACAGAACAAAATTGTCTTTTTTTTTTCTTCAGAGGAGAGCACATAGTGCCTTCTCAGAGACTTCAGACAGCCAGAGATCCTGGCCAGTAAAGAAAAATAGCATTCTGGCTGAAAAATATGTCTCAAAAGCAACTGTGTTGTACCAACTAGCAGGAGCCATAAGACAGTGCAGGTCTCCTTTCATAGGCTCCTGTTCCTCCTCTTTTGACATGATTTTTGAGTTTTCAAACAGTACTGTATCAAATGGACAACAGAAACCAGAAGCTTTAACTAAATACGAATAGCAAGATCAAAACTATAAAAGAAATTAAAATAACTAGGCAAAAAACAATAAATCAAAATGAATCTTTAGCAGCTCAAACGTCACTACCACTAAACCTACTGACTCCTAATATGAGATGTCTGCACCACAGTTTGCAAGGCTTTTGACATGCTCTCTCATAGTATCCTAGTACCCAAGTTGGTGAGCTAGAGATTGGTTATGCAGATGGTCTAATAGGTGGAAAATTGGCAGGATTGCTGGACTCAAGGGTTTGTGTGACCATGAGTATGAATTCCAGGTGTTCACTGGTTACTCACTGTGTCCCTCAGAAAACCAGTACTGGGACCCATACTGCTTAACATCTCTGTTAATGACCTGGATGATAGGAAGCTCACCCTCAACAAGCCTGCCAGTGATATCTAGCCAGGGGACAGTAGATACGGTGAAGGGCATGCTGAGAGGAAGCTGAAATTCTCAACAGGCTGTAGAAATAAGGTATCAGGAGCCTCAAAATGTTTAACAAGGACAAGTCCAAAGTCCTGGTAGAGAATAACCTCCTGCAACTCTATAGAGAGAGTGAAATGAGTGGTTGGAAATTAACTTTGCAGAGTTTTTTAGTGCTATCTGCAACTGTGTCAAGGGAAGATGTGAGGCAGTTGCAGATAGAGCCAGAGTCAAATCCTTCCTAGAAGTGCAGTGACAGGACTGGAGGGAACAGGCACAAATCAGAATACAGGAATAAGAAACAATTTTCATTGGAAAATTTGCATTGCACTGGAACAGATTTCCCTGAGAGATGGTGGAGTCTTTGTCCTTGGGAGATACTCAAAACTCAACTGATCAACATCCTCAACCACCTGATCTAGTTGGACCCATTTTGAACAAAATGTTGGACTAGATGACCTCCAGAGGTCCCTTTCAACCTCATTTGCCCTGTGATTCTCCAATTCTATAAATACTGTGTCCTCTTCAGCTGCTGAAGTTATTAATACAACAAATCTATATTCCTTTGTCAGTCAGACAACTAGTAGTTTCCATGGTAACAAAGGGAATTCCTATTTCTCAATTTTTCCTGCTTATTAGGCTAATTACCATGTTTTAAGAAGACCTAAGTGATGGTGAAGGAATTCCTGATTACTACAGTATTTTCTTTTTTTCACCATGACATTAGTTTATCAGATGGGGATTTTGAAAGGCAGTGTTCAGTAAATTGTCTGCACAGAGGCTGTTGGTGCCAGTAAAACATGTGGAGAGACATTTTACCATCTGCATGTTGCTTGTTGCACAAAAGTAGCTAGAGAAAAGTAAACTATTATCCTCTGTTTTACTGGAGTCTCATTAATAGCCTCCCATGGAAGAACAATCCAATATTAAATGAGTTATTCCTGGTTTATAGCATAAGAGGGCAATCCAGTTATATTCCTGGGTTCAAAGGTAGGTACTAATAAGAATCAACAAGTAGTTAAACGTTTTACATTACTTGCTTTTGAGAGGAGCAAATAAGTATTAGATATCTATTGAAATCTCTTATTCTGTTTCTCCGATTCTGTGATGCTTTTTAAGTGATTTAAAAACACACTCAGTTTCAGCAGTGTCTGCTGTGCTGTGAAACCAAGGCTTCAGTAATTGCTATTTACCCTAGTAGTTCTCAGATTGCATCCCACATAGTTGCAGAAAGGGAAACATCAGCTATATTTACAATGTCCAGAAAGACAACATTTTTTTTCTTAAGCTTTCATCTTGTTTGCTCCCTTAAAAGCACTAAAAATGAGTAGAAAAGAATTTCCTGGGGAAAACTCTGAAACACTCAGATAAAATAGAAGGAAATGACAGTGAAAGAGAATGACAGGCCTGTGTGTCATGGATGGGGGTGGGAGACTTCAAATTATGAAGCAGAGGGTAAGAAGCAAAGTGTTTCTTCATAGTCAGTGGCTTAAAAGTCATGACATTATTAATCATTTGTATAGGACAAGAAATGTGCATGGCTCTGTACTGTGAAAGATAAACAAATAGGAGGATCTGCCATGGATTTACATTTTAAAGGAAGGGGAAAAGTCAAAGGAACACAGTACTGCATATGTAACCATCACAGCTTTCCAGTTTTAGAGAACAGCTGAAGTTTTTATAAGGTCAGGAAAACTGAAAAATGCTTTCTGAGTAACTCCTGTCAGAAAAAACTGTTTCAAATCAACCTATTTCTGTCCTGCAAAGCTGTACTCTTTTCAGTGAAAATTTCTGCAGTCAGAAAGGGTTTTAAATCAGAAAAGATTCAGATTGCATTTTGGAATCTTTTCTGAAACCAAAATATTACTTGATATCATTAGATGATATTACATAAATAACATGAGTTGTTAATGCTTCTGGGCACCTGATAGAAACTGACTTTCCATTTGCTAGTGTAACATGTGACTCAGATTTGCTTTATACTGAAACATATTGTGAACAAGAAGCTGGTATATATGCTATAAACTTTTACCTAGGTGAGCTGGCTGCTCACGAGGAAGCCAGTCTTCTTGCACAGCCAGCAGAGAAAGTGATGTATATGTCTGTATTCTCTGCTGATGCGTCACAAGAACTGAGAGAGTAGATTTGGAGGCTGAGACAATTACTGCCTTCCATTTGCTAAAAGGGGATCCTAGAAAAGCTCCAGCTCAGAAAGCATTTTTCTAAGGCAATCTTTCATATTACTCTTCAGCGACACTACCAATAAAACAAATATCAAATTTTCACTCTCAATAAAGTGGATTTCAGGTGGCTTTAGGACCAACAAACCAGCTTGCTCATGCCCCTTTCCCATTGATGAATTAACTAACTCTCCTATTTGATTCCCAAAATGGGCTAGCTAGGGATATGACACACTTCCAAGCAGCAAAACATTTACTAAATCACAGTGTTCTTGATTCGCATCTGAAAACCACTGCTGCTAAGAGCAATTTTGGCAGAGGGATCACATTGTTATACCTTCTGTTTTGTATATCATCAGCTGGAGTAATTTTTCAGGACAATGCTGAATGTCTATTACGTACTACTTCAAGCATGTCAGTATATATTAATATTATACTGACCAGACGTATTTCATTTCATGGAAGGAGTCAGGGAAGTTTAGACATACAATGTGACCTTCAGAGTTGTGAAACAAAATTGATTATAAAAAGTGCTAAGGAAAGCTGCATTTAACCTTTTTGTGTACTGTTTTTAAGAATTAAATTTTTATGTAGTCTAATTCAAATTCAAAGGGAACTTAAATCAAATTCACAGTACCTGAGCACTTAATAATCTAAATCTGTAAGAATGCTCCACTTTACATGCCTACTTCTTTATAGTTCAAATTAATTTCTCAATTTCCATCACGTTGCCAGTTGAACTCCTGCATTGGTTTCCTTCAAGTGAATACAACGCTTCTAGTCTGGAAGAAAATTATTCAATACCTTTTTATTTAGCAACAAATGAAACAATAGAAACTGCTACCCAAGTCACAAATCAGCGATGTCCTGAGGAAAGCCTGGTATGTACCAGCCAAAAAAGCTTTCTCCGGGATATTCTGCAAGCACCGACTAGATCATAAGGATGCATTTGTGTGAGTGTGACATGAACTTAACAAAAATACAGTCGAAAAAGAGCCAGCCAAGGAAGTACCAGCAATATGCATAGTCCTGGAAAAAAATCTAGAGTGGGAAACAATGTTCTAATTTTGGCCAGAATGCTGGCTTAAAAGAGATTTGATTTTATGAACAAAGAAACCGTTGCATGTTGTTTGTCCCAACTGTATTCAAAGAGAGAGAGTTTTGTGTACGTACTTTGTAAACAGAGAGCAACACACACCCCAAATTGCAAACTTCCAGTTTTAACGTGCTTTACCTAAAAACTCATGGCTGAAAGCAGAATTATATGCCTCAGGGTACTTGATATTTGATTCAAAGTTACTGTTTTTTAAAACCCACTGTCTTTGCAAACTCCTCAGTTCCACTTACACAGTTGCAAGTGAGTATTTATCTCAGGCAGAAAAAGTGGGCAATTCAAGAATCTAAACGCAAATTGTGTTTTTCCCTGTGTGTAGCTATTTATGTCCTGACATAAATAGCAGGACAAGTCACTAGTCTTTCTCTCCCTGAGCTGCTCCCTGGTGATGTCAAGCACACCTCCAGAATCATAGAGTCATCCATATTGGAAAAGACTTTTAAGATCATTGAGTCATAATGCTGCCCAGTCCACCACTAAAACATGTTCCTCCCTAAGTGCCATATCTACGTCTTCTAAATACTTCCAGGGATGGTGACTCAACTACTTTCTGGGCAAACTGGTCCATGCTTGACAACCCTTTCTGTAAAGAAATTTTTCCAAATATCCAAGCTAAACCTCCTCTGGAGCAACTTGTGTACACCTTCTTTTGTCCTGTTGCTTGTTACGTGGGAGAAGAGGCCAACTTGCCACCTGCTACAACCTCCTTTCAGGTAGTTGCAGAGAGCGATAAGGTCACTCCTAAGCCTCCTTTTCTCCATGGTAAACAACCCCAGCTCCCTCATTGCGGAGTTTGTGCTGCAGACCTTTCACCAGCTTTGTTGTCCTTCTCTGGACTTGCTGCAGCATCTCAGTGTCTTTCTTCGAGTGAGGGGCCCAAAACTGAACACAGGATTTGAGGTGAGGCCTCACCAGTGCTGAGTACAGTGGGATGATCACTGCCCTGGTCCTGCTGGCCACACTATTGCTGATACAGGCCAGGATGCCACTGGCCTTCTTGGCCACCTGGGCGCACCGCTGGCTCACATTCAGCTGCTGTTTAACCAGCACCCCCAGGTCCTTTTCTGCTGGGCAGCTTTCCAGTCACTCTGTCCCCACCCTGTAGCACTGTCTGGGGTTGTCATGAATCAAGTGCAGGACCCAGCACTTGGTCTTTTTCAACCTCATTCCATTGGCCTTGTCACACTGATCCAGCCTGTCCAGATCCCAGCCTTTCTATCCTCCAGCAGATCAACACTCCTACTCAATTTGATGTCATCTGCAAATTGACTGAGGAGATGGTTAACACAAAGTCTTCATTCCTGGGGGCAGATCCCTGGGTGCTGGCCTAGGCTGTTTTCAGACCATGAACCCACATCCTACTCTGCAACAAAGCAGCTTTGTAAAAGTGTCCCTTGCCTGAACTCACCTCTAAGTCTTCTGGGAAACTAGTGGAAATGATCAGCAAGAGGTAAGAGATGCTCATGGGCACTTGACTCAAAAACACCATGGTCACAATGCTGAGCAGCTCGGATGGGATGTTATTCTGCCAAAAACATACTATTCTTCTATGAATACTTCTACTTTATTCCTATTGTGGATTTCTTATCCCTCTGGCTTAGACAAATACACTGTACACTACAGAGACCACGGTGGGCTATCACAAGCTTCAAATGATTTTAATTTCCCTAAACACTTTCATAAAATCACAGAATCACAGAATCAACTAGGTTAGAAAAGACCTCTGAGATCACTGAGTCCAACGTATGACCTAACACCACCTTATCTACTAGACCATGGCACTAAGTGCCACATTCAGTCTCTTCTTAAATATCCCCAGGGATGGTGACTCCACCACTGCCCTGGGCAGCCCATTCCAGTGTCCAAATGCCCTTTCTCTGAAGAACTTCTTCCTAATGCCTAACTTAAACCTCCCCTCACGCAGCTTAAGACTGTGCCCACTTATCCTGCTGCTGGTTGCCTGGGAGAAGAGACCAACCCCCACCTGGCTACAGCCTCCTTTCGGGTAGTTGTAGACAGTGATGAGGTCTCCCTGAGCCTCTTCTTCCCCAGGCTAAACAGCCCCAGCTCTGTCAGCCTCTCCTCACAGGACTTGTGCTCGAGTCTCTTCAGCAGCCTTGTTGCCCTTCTTTGGACACACTCCAGCACACACTCCAGCACCTCAATATCCTTCCTGAACTGAGGGGCCTAGAACTGGACACGGTACTCCAGGTGTGGCCTCACCAGTGTCAAGTACAGTTAATGAATCACTTCCTTGGTCACACTGTTCCTGATCCAGGCCAGGATGTCATTGGCCTTCTTGGCCACCTGGGCACACTGCTGGCTCATGTTCAGCTGCTGTCAGTCAGTATCCCCAGGTCCCTTTCTGCCTGGCTGCTCTCCAGCCGCTCTACCCCCAGCCTCTAGCACTGCAGGGGGTTGGTTGTTGTGGCCAAAGTGCAGGACCCAGTATTTGGCCTTGTTGAACCTCATCCCGTGGGAATTTCTTATCACTGATTTTGATTTCCAGTTGCTCAATTGAACAGTTGATATAGTTTGAAGCTGGCTCCCTGCCGAGTCTCCAAACCTTACCACAAGAAGTACACACCCCCCCCCCCCGCCAAACCTCAGGGAGAAGAGGGGAAAAAACCCAAGAGAACCGAAATGAGAGAGAGACAGCTAAAGCTACATATATAAATATATTTACACTTATATTACAGTTATATACAATTCAAATATATGTACAATTTCAAAGGGAAAAGGGAAAGGGGAGGGGGAAGGAAAAAGGAACATAAACAAAATAAAATACACATGATCAATAGCCCAAGATCTAACAACTAAAAGAATTAGCAAAAGAATATCTTACTACTCTCCTTGGGACAACAGAAAGTCGCGCTGGAACGATCGCCGGCAACCTCCGCCTCCCAAGGTCGGCAAGGCCTTACCAGGCCTCGCTCCCCAACACGGCAGACTCAACAGCAGGGAACCTGCACCTCCAAGCTGCCAGAAGGAAAGAGCGAAGGCCTTTCCTCCTTTCTTCTTATACCCTGGCTTATATAAAAATCGTAGGGAATACGGGGTAAATCTGGGCACTTCCTTGGTTACAAACTGGTCACTAAGGAAGGCCTAGACTAAACTAACACAACAGTAAAAAATATGAGAGTGTTGCGGTGTAGACTGTACCAGAATATCTTTGTTTCAGTTGAAAACTAAAATAAAGGCTACCCATGTCTTTCCTACTGCTATTCCAAGCCTCTCCTTCCCCTTCAGACAAGGAGCTAAGGAGAGCCTTGTTCAGACATGACTTACATAGGTGTCTTGGTGTTCTTGGAACAGATAATTCTTCTAACTTGCTGTCCTCCAGAAAGAACACGGTATATCAGCTCAAGTGACCAGAAACTGATTAGTGAGACCCATTGCAGGCTTATTTTTTAATAGGATTAAGAATGTCCATGAGGATGGAAAAGGAGAGGAAGAAAGCGATCTCATATAACCAATTTAAACAAGTGATAAAGCCTTTCTAATAGGTTCATATTCCTGACAGCAAGCTAAATGTAATCAAACTCTGCAGTGGCACCTTGAATTCCTGTTTTGATTACCACTTTTCATGGTCCATTTTTTGCCAGGGATTTCTGGACCACAAATTTACATCTGATTATGAGGTGTGATTCTCCATTTCAAAAACTTGGTCCTGTCTTTTTGAATTTGCCACGGGTAAGGATGGTTTTTGCAGCTGGTTAGCACAATGAAGTCAAAGTAAAGCCTTATTCAAGACCCATATCTTTACAGGGTGAAATTGTTCTTTATCTAGCTCAGCATCTTCGCGTGCACTGCTGCTCAGGCAGAAGGAGAAGGAAGTTTGCATGTCAGGAGGATTGCTTCCTATTGCAGCATGAATAGCCTAACTGGTAGCAAGTTGGCTATATGCCATTAAAAATTGAACAGCCAAGTCAAACTGGGTCAGGTTTGCACTCTACCAGGGTAATGCTGTCTAGCCAGCACAGGAGCATTTTCAGATCAGAGTCTGCTCAGCCATGGGAGTAGGAAGAGAGAGCAAAGGAAGTTTGGCTGTCAGAAACCTTATTTTATCTTCTATTGTAAATAGACAACTGGCAGCTGGTCAGGCATTCAAAGTTGAAAGGTCTAGTGGCACCTGTTTTCGGTACATCCCTTCCTCAGTTAATGGGCTGAAAGCATAAACCTCAGGCAGCAGTCTCAACTGACAGCTAAAGCTGTTTTCCATTTGAACTGTGGGGTGGACTGTGTTGATCTGCAAGCTCAGCCTGTATGCCTTGCCTAAGGACACACAGCTCAGGTTGATGTTGTCATTGCCACTGGATGAGGTAGCCACTGCTTTGGTTGTCAGGCCAAATCTACTGCCCATTAAAGAGAGGAGACAGACCTGAGATGCTGTTCAAGCATTCTGAACTGTGTCCATGAAGTTCTTTTTACTCTTACATGTGTTACACTTGGTTTGTGGTAAAGCAAAAGTCAGTTCTAAAAATCAGACTCAGAGATCATGGTTTTAAAATTTACCCTTTTAAAAACAGCATCAATAGGACGGCAGAAGACAAGAGTAAAACTTTCATTTAAAGATGGAAAGTGCAATCACATTCACCAAAAATATGAAGCTACTATTACTTTCTTGCACAGTGAACCTTAACATACACAGTTGGAGCAGCATATTTGCATATAGAGCAGTTTTGCTCTATATTTGGTCTTATGGTCTGACTAACATAACCACCTACTGCTTCCTACTTGTCAAGAGGATGTGCCAGTAGCAGCTGCCTAGAGGAAAGAATAAGCAAAAGGAAGAAAGAGCAGAAGGGAAAAAATATTGC